AATATTCCGCAAAGAAAATTCACTTTTTCCAATTTATTACTGTTTTACTATCCTCAACATTATGTATAAAACCTCTGAAGGCACATTTAGGTTTACGGTCATTTTGGATAGTTAATAAAAATGACTATATTGACGCCTGGTTTCAATCATCACCCCTGTAAAGAAATCAGAGTCCGTACGTTTCCCTACAATGCGTTAAATTACACCAAACCACTCTGAATGACTTTGTTTACATCTCAAGCATTGAATTATCCACAAAATCTGAAAAATCGGTGAAATTCCCCTTTAAGCTGGATGTTAAAGCTATGCTAACAGTAGCAGACCAGCACTCAGTTGCCTATTTAAAATACCCACATCCCTGTGAGGCTAAATATAGGTTAAGTGACACACACGGTAGCCTCATGTCTAAAAGTGAAGAACACATAGGCGCGCTGTCATCTAGGCCTCTTTATATACTCATGCTAATGCTATGAGTGAAGCTCAGGTTAAATGCAGCTCATGGTGACTTGCTGTACCATTACGGCTTTGTTAAAAAGGGACGGTGCGTCTAGTCCTCACTACAATAACTTATGAGTCTATGACAGATATGAGATGTTCTGCATGAGCAGTGCAACATGTGAGGTCACCCTCACAACTTCATTCTACTGTCTAATTTTTCAGTATTAGGAATAGAATAGAATAGAATAGAATAGAATAGAATAGAACAGTCCACGCCCAATACAGAAGTCAACCAAGCTGTTTAACTGTGTGTGTACAGATAATCTAATTTACAGTGTGTGTAGAGAACTGAGTGAATTACAGTCATATATCTTTATATCTACCATATAAAAACCTCCTGATGTTTCTACACCATTAGAAAACGCCAGCTGCTCTTCACATTGTGTAAACATTTTTTTTGATAAATGGACAAACAGAAATGGTCCAATATTCCACTTGTTAAAATCTTGTAAAGTCACCATTTCTGAGACAAAATGTTTTGTATGATAGCAATGATAAAAATATAGATATACACACATATAAATTGTCGATTAATGTTTTAATCAGTTTTGAAATGAGCTGTAGAAGATTCTAAAATGACTGAGAAAGCAGTGAGAATTAGGTTTTAATCAAATTAATATCCAGAATTCATTACCTTATAGAAAGTGGCAAATAATTTGATAAAAGAATTAATGCACAGTGCAGTATTTAACATTTAATATCTTCTTATGAACAGAATTCTTAATTCTGAAATATTTTTCTGGTAAAATATACTGTAGTGTACTGTAGGGTAGGGGTAGGGTATCTAATATACATATACATATACATACATACATATTCACACATACATATATGTATATGGAAAAATGTGTGTGTGTATAATTCTTTATGTCTGTGTGTGTTTGTGCATGTCTATGCGCTGCTTTCATGCCGCCGTGCTGCCTTGTTTGTCTAACTCTAGCTTGGTGACTAATGTTTAAAAATGTCCACTTATCAGAGACTGCAGAGTAATGAGAGCCTCTCACTGAAGCTTACACAAACAGGAAACCCCCCTCACACACACACACATGCACACACTTCAGCACACAGTGGTTATGCTTTGTGCCCACAAGCACACACAACCAATGTTTTCAGTGTTTCACTCTGTATTTAACCCTGGACAGAAGTCTGCCTCGCATGAATAACTTTAAAATAAACCAACCCTGTGCTGAGGTCAGTCTTAAAGAGCTTTCTAGAAAGCACTGCAGAGCATTCACTGAATCACGGCCTGAAACTTTAAATATATTGAGCATATGATTATGATGAAACAGAGGCTCATGTTTGGCCAGTGTTATTTTGATTGAAACATTTGCTGGAGCTGTGACTTCCTGCAGCAGAGGTTTGTGTGGCTGTGGCGTTGCTGTAGCTGTGCCATTGCATTGAACCGAAGTCATTTCCCTCCTGCCTGAATGACCGGGCTTTTCTTTCTGTATGTGAATGATCACACCTGTTTCCCACTGCGCTTGTGAACTTTGACCTCAGAGCTCAGTATAGGCCAGACCACTGGGCTCTGTGTTTGTGTAAGTATGATCAAAACACAGTAACATGACTCTCCAAAACACACCGTGGACTCTTGTGTGTGTGTGAGTGTGTCTGTGTGCAATACTGGGCAAAAGTCAGAGACAACCTTTAATTTATTGAATTTCTAGTCAAAATGGCCATTGGGTTTTTTTCTGTGTCAGGAAAAAAACATATTTAACAGAAAAAACACAGAAGCCTCAGCAGCTAAATATAATATAATCTTTCAGTATTTAGTCTCTCCACTCTGCCTTTGTTACAGCTCACATTTTTTTCAAGAGACTTGCTTTCAGTTTTTCAAAGAAATCTGCACATTTTCAAAGTTCAGTCTTAAAAGTTGGTTGCATTTTCTGCTGTACATGATTCAAATAATCCCAAACACATTCAGAAATGTTGAAGTCTGGACTCTGGTGTGGTCAGTCCATTGTTCTGAGAACACCAGCAGCTTGTTTGTTTCATTTGCAAATGTTCTTCTTTTTTGTCTATTTCCTTTTCTCAGTAGCAAGCTTTATTGGTCACACACACAGACTTACACAGTATGTACATGTCTGTTGCTGTAGCATTGAGTCGTCTTCTCACAGTGGAAGGATGGACAGAAACACCTGTGGATGTTTTCAGATCTGAAGCAGCTTTATTTTCTCCTCTCTCTCAAAGATAAAATCTTTAAGTGCTGTTTATCTGATAGTGTTGGTGGTCTACCACATCTTGCATGGTTGTTTTCTCTCTTGAAATCCAGTTTCTTTCACTCGTTTCCTTTGACTTTTCCCTTCCTTATGCGAGTGGATTGTCTTATATCTAATCTCCTCAGAAATACCTCCTGAAAAATGAATCACGTGTATTTGATGGTCGTTTTGACTGGGAAATAAAGTATTGAGAGGAGGTCTCTGACTTCAGCACAGTACTGTATGTGTACAAGTGCATGTATGTGTGTATGTGTTAGAGAGCTCTGAACCTGCTGATTTCCCTGCTGTTTTGTATGGTCTTATCCAGCTGAGCGGTTGTCGTGGAAACGCTACGGGGAGTGTATTTGATTTGCAAATATTTTTGGAAAACAAAGTCATGAGATGAGATGGAGAGAGAGAAGAGATAGAGGAGGCTGATCATTTACAGTTAATATATGCAGCTTTTAATACTTTAATGTCATGTTCTGTCAGAGTGTTGTATTAAATGAAGAAATAATTCATGTACGTGACTCATGTGGGGATTTAATCATTTACTATGTTCTAGGGCTGTCGTTATGCATTGCATTAGTGATGGGTCTAATCTAGTTGTCTCGACAGTTAATCAAGAAATTGGCCTAATTTTTTAACGACCAAACAGTAAAAACAGACTTAAAGAGGCCTAAAATCTGCATCTAAAATGTTGTTTGCCATTTAATATTCTGTAGTATCCATGATTTTATAATCTTTTTGTGTTTTACGCATCTATATTCTCTCACTACAATACCCAGCATGCATTGTACCACTGAGAATCCCCCCATGGTAATAAAGAAATCTTGACTGCTGATGTAGAGGCTAATAAGTACAGATGTGATAGTGCCTTTAATCTGCATTAGCTATTAGGTCCTTTCACCTTCAAGATGCATCATCAGAAGGGGGGGTTTCTAGTCTTTAAACTGCAGACTGTAGAGTGTTTTGCAACATATTGTAGGCGGCGAGTAAACATGTTTATAATAAATGTAATGATGGTAACATTTTCCATTTTGGCCAGAGTGCCCCTTTAACTGAACAATAACAAACCACACAAGGCATTTCAAAGATTATTTTTTATTATTATATTCATTATCTGAGCCACTGAGTCCATCACAGGGCAGATACACAGACGAACATATTCACACCTAGGAGCAATTTAGCATGTCCAATTGGCCTGACTGTCTGTCTTTGGACTGTGGGAGGAAACACACGCAGACACAGGGAGAGCATGCGCTCCACGCAGAAAGCACGCTGGTCGCCCAGCCGGGCAATCGAACCCAGGCCCTTCTTGCAAATGTGAATAATTATTGTGCAGATTAACACCTTGAAATCCCCCGTACCTCCCAAGCAGGCATTAAATACTAAGGGACTTCAATGCAAACTAGCTGAGCTGTTCTTAGGTTATAAACGTGTGTAACAGGCCCACCAGTTAAGGGGTTAACAACTGATATTGCAAGATCATTAAAAAATCAATGTTTTAATCAATGCTCATTTTAATTGAGTTATCAAGTTTAATAGTGTAATTAAGATGGCCAGTTTATGAAATACCACTTTGTATTCAGGCGGTCCCATGTTGACTGGCTACTCCAGCACTGGCTACCTGCTAACTCACCATAGAGGCACTGATGCTCACTTCAAGCACAACAAAATGTTTGGTTCCACAATTCTTTTTTTTAGAAATGTTCTTTTCTGGTTTTGTAATGGGTTTTTCTCACATTGATTTACAAATATGCTACAGTATATTGTAAAGTCTATGTGGCTGATCAAGTTGGAATTGAGTAATTTAGTGTTTATGGATTTACGCATTCTGTATCTGCACTGATACTGAAGCAAGCAGCTGTTTTCCATTTACTTTTAGTGACTGCACTTCATTCAAGGACATCAGTGTTTACTCAGCGAGGTTAATCTAGAGAAACATTCCGCTCATCCTTAACTTATTAAATCAAACTGTTGATCTTTTCTCAACCCTCCACACTGCAGACTCACTGTTCAGTTATCACTCTTATCAAACCTGTTTCTTTACCTGCTATAAATCATTCAGTTACTGCTATGAAACTAACATTAAGAGAAGGAGGAAGGTGTCGGCCCACCTTTAGGGTGTCCAGAGACACTCTGTAGACACTCACACGTGTTTTACAGCAGACCTTTATTAAGGCCACTTCTGCACACATTGGTAACATTTTGTGGTGCATGCAAACTAACATGAGCAGCAAATTATTATTTGTGTAACCACTCCTCCCCTCCTCCCCTCCTCCCTCCCCTCTCTCTCTGTAGGAAGTGAAGGGTTCACCCTCCTCTGCTAGGAGAGTTATGGATCAAAAGAGCAAAGAAGCTTCTAGAAAAGAGGTGTCCAATCAGAGTGAAGATATGAGCATCTGTAAGTACCACTGGATCTCCTCGTATTAATGCTCGCTCTGATGATTTAATGGTGACTGTTATAAAAGAGTGTTTAACCTGCGTAACGTAAGTGAACTGACTTCTGCCCTTTGGTTTTTGTGGTGTGTGTGTGGGTGTGTGTGTGTGTGGGTGTGTGTGTGTGTGTGTGTGTGTATGTGTGTGTGTGTGTGTATGTGTGTGTGTGCACTTGTGTCAGTTTTGGTACATTTGTAGGACAGAAATAGGAAAACCTCCCTGAAATGTCTTTTTGCTGTTTACAGCATCTACTTTTTTTATTTCTTGAAAGCATTTTTGGTTAGGGTTAGATTTAGGGCTTAGAAAAAATCTAGGTACTTACATGTATGTAACAAATATGGAACATGCTATGATTACTGATAAAGTACTGTGCAGAAGTCAGAGACTAGGCTTCATTGATTTAATTTCCAGTCAAAATGATGTAATTCATTTTTTAGGAGGTATTTCTGAGATACCCTTGCATAATGATGGAGGTTTACTACACTGAAAAATGAAGAACTTGTACTTACTGTATGTTTTGACTGGGAAATGAATGACAAAAAGGGAACTTTGACTTTTCAAAGAGTTCACCCAATTAAAACTTCATAGCTGAGTCAAAAGTTCCCTGAATTTTTTTACCTTTCTTTTTACACTCAGCTTCCCAACTGGCCAGGACTCTCTCCATCACACAATCCTACTAGACATTTTTCCTCTTGATTACACACATACTGATGGCTATGGTTGGGGCTCAAACTCACAGCCTCCTGTTGGGGTGACAGCTTAGTCCACTGCACCACTCAGGAACACACAAAGCAACTCAGATTTTCTACAAATGTTTAATACACCGGAGAAAATATTTGTTGTTTTAACTTTAAAGCATGACATCGTCTCATGTGGTGCAACCGTCTAATAATTCATCCCAACATCGGGAGGTTGTGAGTTTGAATCCCAGCATCACTGTAGCTGTCCATATACAGAAGCCCAAGAGAAAAATATGCCAGATGGGACTGTATGATAGAAGGAGTGCCAGCTAGTGGGGAAACTGAATAAAAAACACAAATTCAGATTTGTTTATCTAACTGAGATGCAGAACTAAAAACAGTAGCTGGGAGAATTTTTGACTCAACTAAGAAGTTTGAGTTGTGTGAACTCTGCTGTCCTCAAGTTGAGTCAACTAAAGAAAAGCCATGTAATCAGTTACTATATCATTTTAGGTTAAGCTGATCCCTCATTTTTACAGTGTAGGCACTCACATATAAATAAATCATATAAGACGTATTATTATTACATATAGGCGCTTCCATATGTATAAAACATATCTGACATATATGTAAGACCCTACTTGACACTGTGTGTGTGGGTGTGTGTGTGTGTGTGTGTGTGTGTGTGTGTGGGTATGTGTGAGTGTTTTCAAGGTGACATGATTAAAGACTCTTCTCTATTGCCCTGTGACTCTCTGACAAGTGTGATGGCTTTATCCGTGTTTGTATGTGTGTGTGTGTGTGTGTGTGTGTGTGTGTTTGTGTACATCTACAGTAGTTATCGTTTCTTCACTGTGTTGCTTCCTCTTATTATTTGTTGTCTATTCTAGTGTTCATGTCTCTGTGTTGCTGTAACTCTATCCCGCATGTACAGCCTTTTATATATTTCATGAATGCTTTTAGTGTGTTTGTGGGGGTGGAAGTGTGTGTTTTCACACATGTGAGCGTGTGCTGTAGCTGTACACGTGTAGGAACAAATGTGGTTCCAGTAGCATGTTAGCACGTCAACAGCTTCGGCTGATTTAGAGAGCTGGATTGTCAGGTGAAGAGTTGTGTGTTGAGTGGATTGTGCGAAACGTGCACCGGCGCCACTTAGGGTTATACATTGGGGGGGGCTTGTGTAGTGGGGCTTATGTCCAAATCTAGTGAAATATATTTAATGTTGAATTTTGGGGAAGGTCATGGGCATATGAAAAGGAGTTATGGGTGAATACGTTAAAATTATTTATTGTTATCATTATTATACACTTTTATAATTCTATTGTGTTTATTGAAGTAGCCCTAAATTCATAATTAAAAACACAAAAAAAAATTATATTAAAAAATAAATTGCTCAATAATTTTAAGGCATCATTGCCCAGAGAACTACAAAAAATTGAAGTGTCCCTAAACCTTAACACACCAAGAGATATAAATTTGTATGATTATACAAATTGTAAACGCCTCCTGATTCCCCGTTTCTAAATCCTGTCCCTTCCCCACCCTGCATGTTGCCTCAGGTGATGCAGAGCAAAACCAAAGCTCCCACTGTAACTTTTAGAAAGATTTTTTCTTTCTGTCACTCCAGCACCAGCCACTCAACTTAACTTGCTCAAATGTGAGTCTTCATCCCCTAAACTTGCCTCAGTGCAGCATCAGTAAGCCAGAATTGCTGGTGATTTAGCCTTCTCGCTAAGCTAACGTTAGGTTCTTGTGCGATATGAATTCAAACTGAACCTACGTTGTTGTGTGTGAACCTATTTGGCCTTGCATCAGTGAAGTTTCAGTGAGCTGGAATGAACCTGTTCTGCTGTGTGCTGCAGCGTTAGCATGCTAAGCTGCGGCAGTTGCATGCTATCTGGTACCAGAATAGCCCTCCACCACATTTGGCAGTTTTTAGGTAGATGTGGGATATAAATTTGACACTGTCATAATTGTAAATACCAATAGTGTTTATTTATTTTAGCCAACTACTTACTGCACACTCAATACGTTTAAAAGAAGTAAGATATTGAGTGCAAACATGTGCTAACAGTTACATAGACCTCTGAGACACTGAGCCTCATTCACCAACTATTCCTAAGACAAGATTTCTTCTTCAAACCCACTAACGCAGTAAGATTCTGACGTTCACCAGTGTTTTCTCATTTGGGATTTGTTCTTAGGTATAAGAACAGAATCTACACTTACAAAGGTGTGAACAGTCCTGTGCTTGAAGAGCATGCCATGAATCTGACGTAGACTTTTTTAAGCCCTTTTTTTAACAAAAAATTAAGGAAGAGGTGAATGAGGCCCAAAGGGTCTAAGCTAGTTTTCTTTAAAAGAGAAATTAATTCTGTTTTTTTTAAATATCACTGCTATTTTGCCTTGTCGTCAACAATAATGTTCCAAACTTGATATGTTTGTACATTTCTCCTACCGAACATTGCCAGATACTCTGAATTAAGAAGTCACTAAGGAGCTGAACTACGGCTATCGCTACATGCATTGCGTGCAATTTAACATATGTAACAGTGTTGAAGTTTAATAGTAGACTTATCTTCACGCACTATGCAGGAGTGTTATCTTGCTTGTTGCATGTATTTAGCATTAATTGTATTTTGACTGTCAAACAATTTCATATTTCACAGGATCCATTGACACTGGGGGGGTGGGGGGGTGAATATACAGAGAATGAATCAGGTTTGGATCATTGTTTACCACAGGGTGCGATGGTGGTGCTTTCAAAAACATTATTCATTTTTCTCTTACAGAAATCTGCTTAGACCCTGAGTTCCTAATATAGGATGCCAACTACAGAGTGATGCACAGCTCATATTCAGCTGTAGCTAATAGTTTGCTTTTGCCGGTCTGTGTGCTGTGCAACATTTCCCTAATAAGAAATATTGTTTTTAGTTCAGCTGCTGCTTTTTCTTTCTCAAACTTGCGTCAGCTAAAACCTCTTGCTGTATCTGTTTTTTGTGTGCCATTAAAGACCAGCATGCCAGGCTACGGCCTAATGGAGGAAAGAACCAGTGAGACGATACGTGCCTGTAGAAAACAGCACAGTTTTTCTGGTTACCCTGCATGCTCAAAATCTCTGTTGTTTTCCAGCTGTTAAATGCAATTTCATGGCAAAATCACTGTTGTTTTCAGACAATTCTATGCCATTTCACTACCATGGCTTTTTTTGAAGCTTTGCACCAAAGTTGGGTGGGTATTGCCCCTCCAAATTTAGTTTCTGGACAATGACCCAGCACTCCTCCTGGTTGGCGCCTATGGGTACATAAATCTGTGTGTGTGTGAGGGTCAGTTACTTATCCCTCTAATCTGTCTATCAACACTAATTTTAAATAGACAATCTTGTTTATCGTGTTTCTTCTCTCTTTCATTGGACCTACACACTTCTGCCTCACAAACCCACTTGCTGGTTTAGGCACACACACACACACACACACACACACACACACACCCCATACACACTACAATAACAACACCTCCCCCCTACCCTGTAACACATACAGAGCATATTTTTGACTGGATATTTATGACTAAAGCGTTTGTTACTGCATTCCCTTCAGTCAAAAGATACTTCTGCTTGGAGACACATCACGTCATGTTTAAGAATGGATGTGCATGATGAGCAAATATGTTGTGAAAACTAGAGAACCTAAGTGTTCTGTGATTCTGTAGTGAGTTTTTTTTGTTTTTTTTCAACAAATTGTGTTCATTTTCAAGAATACTTAGAAAGTTATGATTATCACTACCAGAACTGGGATTTAGATACTGGTACCAAATGTACTTTTACAATGCTGGATACCAAAACAATATTATGGTAGAAAATAAACAACACTTGTTATTGTCTGTACAATGAGTATTTACTGAACTGAATGCAGAAAATATTCAAATTTTACAGCTGAATTAACATGACTGCTTAATTAACATCTTTTTTTTTAATTCTGCCTCTTTTTTCTCAGTACAAAACTATATAAACTATAATCTCTATATAATCACACTTTTGTTTAAAACATACAAAATGGGTTATACTTTATGTTGTTATTCTCGATAGGAGAATAAGACATACACTATATAGCCAAGGGTATGTGGACCCCTGACCACCATACCTATGTGAGTTTGCCGGACATCCTATTCCAAAGCCATTGGCACTAATATGGAGTTGCCCCCCCACCCCCTTTTTGCCTGCACCAGCCGTCACTCTGATGGGAAGGCTTTGCCCAAGATTTTGGAGTGTGTCTGTGGGAATTTG